GGATAGTTGTGGCAATGAAATTTTTATTCAAAGTAGATCTGTGTCACCTATATTGGATTCTGATGTCTCACTATAAATAGCCTAGCATTGGCTATAAATAGCTAGTGAAAATTAACCAGGGATAAAGAAAAGAAAAGAAAAAAGAGAGAGAGATTTGATATTACTATTAAGTTTTTTTACTATTCATTTAAGATATTAATGTTTTAAAAAAACAATTTGAAAATATAAAAAATATCCTAACCATTAGATGTAATAGTATTTAATTTTGGACCTTTGATTTAAAAGGATTTAATAGGGCTTACTACACTTAGATTAAAACTCAAATCCATCTCATCTTTTAAAACAATCTGTCATTTGATCCTGTTGTGTCACGTCACCCGGTGTACCAACCTATCTATGCATCTCACCACACTACAACAAAGCTCAGTCCATCCGGATCATCCGATCAACTTGCAGATCAAGCCAATCACAGCCAAATGATCAATTCATCCATAATCCAATGGTTCACAACCTTCAGCTGTACTGGTTTACCATGCTAACATTCACACGGTAGTAAATCTCAGAAGCTCTCTCTTTCCTCCTGCCGACGATTCTCTCTCTCTTATCTGATCTCCCACCTCTAGCCGTTTAAAGCTCCAAACCACCACATAAAGGTTAATCGCCTCCTATAAAGCAAAACCCAATCAGTTTTCATCTCTCTCTCCACCTTATTTGGCCGAAAAAAGGTTGCGACTTCTTCGACCACCTGGAGGTTCAAACCATCGATTCTCCCTTGTCAGCTATCAACAGCCATCGAAACCACCATCATCAAAATCCTCGCTCTCAGATCTACCAGAATCAACCTTTTTTAGTCGAGAATCTCGCCAAAAAATTTCACCCCCTCCAATAGTAACCGCGCGTGAGCTACACGGTATTTCAGTCTTTTACCTATACAGTGGTACTCAGGTAATGTTTTAGGATTCCTAGTAGTTTTTTAATTATTTTGTTTGTAGAGGTAGTTGTAAAATTTTTTTTGTATTTTGTAAATAAAAAAAACCAAAAATAAATATAAAAGGAATAACGACGTGAATCCTATACCCATTTTATCATGTCATCGTTTATGAGTCCAAAGCCCAATTCTCAAGTATGGTTATACCCATTTCTCAATGATATCAAAATAATTTTTTTTTATAAATAAACATTGTTTGTCGACACATCTCTTTTTTTATAAAAAGGAACCGATGTTAAAAGTTTAAATACTAAATATGGATTTTTTCCATTTTTTTTCTTTCTAGTAACTCAGATAACTCTCCTTTTTAGGGTTAAACATCAATATTTTAGACAATTCTCCTATTTTTTAGGGACTGATGTTATTTTTTAACATCTCCTATGAGTATTGTTTGTTGACACGTCTCTTTTTTTTTCAAAAAAAAGGACCGATCTCAAAAGTTTAAATACCAAATATGGATTATGTCTATTATTATTTTTTTTTTGGTAATCCAAACGTAACTTTTCTTTTTAGGGTCAAACGACAATATTTTAAATGAGTCTCCTATTTTTAGGGACTAGTGTCATTTTTAACGTGTCTTCTATTTTAGGGACCAACGTTAACTATTTAAAAAAAAATTGCAAATAAGTTCAAAATATAATAGCATTTAAATCAAATAAAAAAATACACAAGTAAGGGTAACCTTTCTCTTGAAACTATGTTTTAAAAGTAGTGTCTACCTTCCCTTAATCATAACTAACCTAGTACCTGAATTTCTAGGACTAGTGTCTAATTTGAGATTTCTAGTTACCTCAAATTACTAGATGGCGACTTCAATAAAATCTTCATTTCCTCTAATCGAGAAAAATCTTTTTGTTAAATAAACAAAAAGTGGAGCCGTCACGTGACATTGTGTAGCGACAATCATCATTAGCTTCTTTTTTTTCTTTTCTAACAATTGTTTCCTTTTTTTTAATTATCTTATTAAAATTAATACAACATATTTGGCTCAATCAAGTTTGTGACCTGCAGTGAAGATTTTTCCCTTTTAGATTTGACAATAATAGGACTGGAGGTCCCTTCACCAGTAGACATTTTTGCGGTTGATAAGGAGGCATTGTTAGAGCCTGTTTGTTTCTGTGTTTCAAAAGTACTTTTGAAAAAATTTGAAAATTTTTTATTTTTTTATTAACTTCAAATTAATATGTTTTTAATGTTTTCAAATCATTTTAATGTGCTGATGTCAAAAATAATTTTTAAAAAATAAAAAAACATCGTTGGCATGTATTTTGACACAAAAAGCTATTTGAAAAGCAACAGCAATCACACTTCCAAACAGGCTAGTAATAGGAAGTAAAGCTGAAGGAGAAATCTGCAGGAGCTAGACAGGGCAGAAGGAAGAAATTTTTTAAGGATGGCTGTTGACTTAAGTTATCATAGTATGGAGTAGCTTCTTCAAACTGAACATCTCTTGATATAAATAACTTCCTAAAATGAGGATGATAACATTTATATGAATATCCCAAGAAAATACACTTAACAACCCTTAGATAAAGTTTATCATAATTTGAAGCTCGGAGATGCTCAAGACAAGTGCAGCTGAATACTCTCAAATAAGATAAGTCAAATGTTTGGTTTTGCAGGGGGTTTAAAAATCAACACTCAACTTGGTAGTTGATTAATAATATATAGGAATATATACAGCACATAACACTTTTTGAGACCAAAAATATTTAAAAACATGTATTTGTATTATCAAGCCTCAAGTTTTTTTTCTAATAAATCTCTGTTTTTAGGTTGAGCTACCCCTATATTAGGGATGTACCAAACCAATTAGACTAATGCAAAATTCCATGAGAAGTTAATATTGTGTTGTTTTTTAGACTTGTATTCAATATCATTATTAGATCAAAAGAATTTAAATTTTGTAGAAAATTGAGTCATGACTAGCATATAAAAAATTTAAAAACATCCACAATCTCACTCTTGAATTTTAAAAGATAGAACTATGCAACACAAGGGAAATTATCAACTAAAGTAACAAAATACATATAACCATCAAATGATTCAATATTTGGTCCCAAACATCATAGTATACAAGTTTAAACATCCTTTTAGCTATAGAAAAAGAAGATATAAATGGTAGTCTAGTAAATTTAGATAAATGACATATATCATAAGTTATGTTTGATGAGAACAATTTTGAAGGAATGTGCTAAATGTTGATGCCATAAAACTTAATCCTAATAAATAAATAAATAGAAAAGAGTAGAAACTTGAAGATGCTTGTTGCTCTGATGATTGCTTGAAAAATAATAAAGTTTTTGAGAAAAAAAAAAAAACCTTCACCAATAGTCATCTTAGTGATGAGGTCTTAAAAAATAGCTCGGTGAGAATCAAATATAAAACAATAATTTAAAGTCTAAGTGAGTTTATCAATAAATAGCAATTGGAAAGGAAAAAAAGGAACATGCAAAACCAAAGGATTCTACAACTTTAAAAATTAATTTAATCTTTTCTTTACTCTTAACAGACACATGTTTTTCAATTGCAATAAGAATATACATGAGAATAGAATATTTTTCAAAATTATATAAACCGACCACTTTGTTATATGATTAATAGCACTAGAATCAATGACTTAAAAATTTTATACAATACTAGCAACTAAAGTAGTTTTAAATGCAATCAAAATACCTTTTATATTTTCTTGTAATAGATTAATAGAGTTTACTAGAAAACTAGATGAGCAAAGTTTACCATGAAACAGCAAACTTACCAAGAATCTTCTCGTGGAATCAAAATTTCAAGTTGACAAAATAAGAACACCCTTCTCCTGAAGATATACAGCAAAATCATTAAAAAGAGTAGCCGAGTTGGTAGAAAAATTTACCACATCACTAGGAAAAGAAATAGTGGAGAGAGCAGCAACATGAGCTTTATGTTCATATCCTTTTTGAAATCCCTTCTCTTTTTCAAACTTAGGAGAAGAATCAGTAGGTGAGCAGCAATTGTCACAGCTCTTAGATAGTTAAGCTCATTCAACAATACAAAGCCTAGAGGCTGACTAGGATTTGGTTCTCCTTCCAATGTGTTAGAAGGTTTGTTCATGCCATCAATACTATCAGATTTAGAAGTGTTTTCCATAAGAATCTTAAACAAAAAACAGAACAATAGGAAATTGCTCTGATGCCATGAAGAAAACTACAAGAACAGGATTTTATTCATTCTCTGTTACAATTGTAATTCATTGCATGTGCATAATACAAGTTCTAAATAGGGAGGATACTAACAATCTTGGCATATCTCCTATCTTTATCATATCTACAATCATAATCCAAGCACCTAATTTATATAACAAATAGCAATAATATCGGCAACAATTTAGCTTTCCTTCAATACGTATTGATTACAGCTGAAACAAGGTAGATTCATTAAAAAGTTGATTCCTGTAATATAAAATTTCCTGTCTCGGCTCCTAAACAATGTTGCAACTTAATCATTGAGCACCAATGGCACTCACATGATAAACTCAAATCTGTTTATATGGGAAGATATAAAAAACCAGATGCCTGTCATTCAGTTAGGGGGAAAACGGAATCATCCAGCAATATTATCTAAACTTCAGCTCTTATCGCTATGCTACAATTTGGCGAGAGATACTGAAGCCAAGGATGCGGATCTTGTCTTCGTGTTTCTCAACAGAGATTTCAGGACGATCAGCATTGTATGCATTAATAAATCGCCACCCGTGTGTTGCAGATGTATACTAGTATTCAATTCAAGAGAGCTGTGATTTAAAACTGCAAATAATTATATTTTCATGGAATGCTGAATTAGTGGGCAAGAGACATTGCGTGGACATCGGGGATGCCATTTTTCAGAAACATGTTACCGCCATTAATAGTTGAAGAGGATGGAATTCCTCATGTCTCCTCACCCCCATATATATTCAATAGATGCCAACGGATGGAAACCACATTGAGTTGAATCAATATTTTCAATCATCAAACCTCTTCTCTGAGAAAGAAAAATGGTTGTCTCTCCAATCTGTCCCAAAACCAGCTTACATGCTCGATCCAACAGTCTACCCTCAAGACCACACCCCATCATTTCAGAATTTGATGAGCATGTTAGCCGAGTAAGAGATTCACAGGGTACCTCTACATCATTTTCATCATCAATAGGCCACAAACTAAGTATCCTCCAGGATTTGTATGATTCTGTTGATAAATTCCTACAGCTGCCACTTACACAACAAGGATTAGCAGGAGAAAACAATCAGAAATGTACTGATGAGATCCTAGATGGATCTCTCAGGCTCTTGGACGTTTGCAACTCTGCCAAAGATGCACTGTTGCAATCGAAAGAATACATCCGCGAGCTTCAATCGGTTATTCGCAGAAGACAAGGAGGTCATGATAGCGAGATCAGGAAATATATAGCATCCAGGAAAGTAGTAAAGAAGAAGATAAAAAAGACCTTGAAGAACTTGAAGGGCATTGAAAACAAGAGCACCTTCTCTAGTGAAGACCTTGAGATTGTTACCGGGATTGGCATGTTAAGAGAGGTTGAGTCCATCAGTCTCGCCGTGTTCGAATCATTGTTGTCCTTCATTTCTGAACCAAAGTCAGAAGCAAAGAAAAGCGGGTGGTCATTGGTTTCCAAATTGCTACACCACCAAAGAATAGCATGCGAGGAAGAAGAAATAAATGTGAACGAATTTGCAATGGCTGATGCTGCATTGGAATGTCTTATCAGTTGCACAATAGATAAGACGATGAATGTGCAAAAGAAGCTAAGCAGCTTGGAGTTGTGCATTGAAGATCTTGAAAATGGAATTGAAGGCCTCTACAGGCGCATGATCAAAACTAGAGCCTCCTTTCTCAACATTTTCATTTAGTAGCCTGAAAAATCTTTGAAAATCATGCTTTGTATACTTGTGAATATTTTTTTATACTAGTTCACAAACTTCATATCAAACTATACCCGTGTCCCTTATGATGCGTTTCCTCTTAGTTTTTCACAACTTCCATCCTTCAACACTTACAATTCTCACTCCCTTGATAACAAATATTAAACCTATAGATCTAAACATGTTTGTAAAATAATTTTTATTTAGATTTGATATGGAAAAATAAATATATCAATAAACTATGACATGTTCAAATTTAATGATGTAGTTATATAGATAAAAGTTTGTATTTCAGTGTGTGAACTTAGAGACCAAAAATCTATATTTATATAATAAGGGTCACATTAAACTCCTATTAATATAATTCAGAAGCCATTAATTTAGGAAATATTAATAGGGGAGTTAATTTTATTGGACCAAATATTAAAGTTCTTGAAAAAACTAAATTCCACATTAATATGACAAAACATAATTTTAAAATTCTCACTTGATCCATACATTTAACATAATTTTTTTTAGTTGATTTGTGTGAAATAAAGCTACCAAAATCTAAATTTGAGTAGCCAATTGCTTCTAAATTATTTGTTTACCTAGATATAAGCATGTAGTTTTTGGTCCGTTAAAGGTACCTCATTACTTTATTTATAACTCTCTAATGGTCTATACCTAAATTACTCTGATAACATCCCAACATTCCTACAACAAATGCAATGTTAGGCTTTATACAAAACTTAACATACATTAGACTTTCTATAGCAGAAACATATGGAACATTCTTTATTTGTTCCTTTTTAATATCATTTTTCAGGTATTGGTTCAAATTGAACCTATCACCTTTCATAATGAGAGTTACACTAATGAACAATCTTCATTTAAAATCTCTCTAAAACTTTATTCATATAGGTTTCTTGAGATAGACCTAAAATAACTTTAAATCTATTTCTATAGATTTTAATATCAATGATATAAGATATCTTATTTATATCTTTCATGTCAAAAAAATTAAAGAGAAATGGTTTCACTTGATGCAACAAACATTTATCATTGGTTGCGAGTAGAATATCATCTACATATAAAACAAGAAAACAATTCTTACTACTATTGACTTTCTGGTATATATATTGATTCATGATGTTTTCTACAAATCCAAATGAAAAAACTACATCATGGAATTTTAAATATCATTATTAGGATGCTTATTTTAAAATGTATATGAATTTTATGAGCTTGCAAACCAAATGATCACCATCACTAGAGAAGAATCCTTCAGGTTATTTCACGTAAACCTCATCCTATAAATCTCTATTGAGAAATGCAGTTTTCACATCCATTTGTTACATTTCCAAATCAAAATGTGCTATTAATGCCAAAATAATATGTAAAGAATCTTTTTTAGATATAAGAAAAAAATTCTTTATGTAATCAATTCTTTTCTTTTGAGTGAATTATTTAGCAATAAGTTTTATCTTCTATCTTTCAATGTTGCCCCCATAATTCTATCTTTGTCTTAAAAACCTATTTATATCCAATGGCTATTGCATTATTAAGCAACTCAACAAGATCCAAGACTCCGCTACTTTTTATAGAATTCATCTTTTATTTCATGGCATTGTACCATAATTCCAATTCTTTGCAACTTATGGCCTATGAAAATGATTTAGAATAGTTTTCGGCTCAAATATTATAGTTAGATTCTTATAGATATACAACATAATTATTAAGAATTGTTGATATCTTTGTTCTAGTAGATTTTATCAATATTGTACCATTATCTTCTTAAGAAGTATTTGGCTCAACCGGTTGTTCAGAGGTTCTTGGTAATGCTTGAACAACCTAATCTATTAAGAATGTTGTCAATAGCTTATGGAACTTCAATAATTGATCGTTCAACACTAGTTTATAATTGAGAGATGTTACAAACAATAATTAATCTATCACTGAATGTGGAAGGTTATGATTCTAAATGATCCTTTTTAGAAACTATGTTCATGATTTGATCTCTCTCATTCATTAAGTCATTTTCAAAAAACTTTGCAATTCTTGATTCTATAATTTTGGTGTTGTTAGATGGACAATAAGAGAGGTACCCTTTAAACCTTTTAGCACTTCCAATGAAATGCTCACTAATAGTTTTTAAATCTAGCTTCTTTTCTTGGGGATTATAAATTTTTACTTCATTGAGGTAACATGCACAAGTCGTAAATTCAGTTTCCAACCTTTTAATAACTCAAATGGTGTTTTTGAAATAATATTGGTTGGAACTCCGATTAATGTCTACATTGTTGTTTTTAGTGTTCTATTCCATAAGAATTTAGATAGATTGAACTTTTTAAGCATACTCTGTACTAAATCCAATAATGTTTAGTTTCTTTTTCCTATTACATTATTCTGGTATGGTAAACCAAGCATAGTGTATTGAGCAATTGTTCTATTTTCTTGAAGAAACTTTACGAACAAACCAAATGCTTCTCTATTCTCCACTTCTATCTAATCTCACAATCATAATTTGTTTCTCACATTATTTCTTTACTTCAACCTTAAAAATCTTGAAGGCATTTAATGTTTTGTTCTTGTTATAAAGCAAGTAAAGATACGTGTATCATGAGTAATAATCTATAAAAAAGATGAAGTATTTCTGAACATGAGTCCTTGTTTGGACTATATATATATATATTATTTCTGTTTGGGCAAAATTTATTGCAATAGGTAATTACTGGTCTTGTAGTAATATCTAAATTCTAGTTTAGCAGAGAGGCATCACCAAATCATTTATTCGGATCTTGCCTGCCTGTTGAGCGACAATCAGACCTGTGATTTAAGAATTTTATAAACGACTTGCACGTTCACCTGAATTTTTAAATGATCATTTGATTTGCAAAACAAGTTCACTCGTGCAGATGTCTCCAGGCCACTTCTATCAAGGAAAGTGGAATCGATGCTGCTCGTGTGCGATAATTAGATTAGTACTATACCTTGTCTTCTGTTAATGGGCTATAGTGGTTGTCTTGTGAGTTGGAGATGTGGTGGGGGAGGAGACATTGACAAACATAGCTGATATGGATTGAATCGAAATAATGGTAGTGAGATTCCTCGTCTTTATAAAGGCAGTACTGCAGACGCAAAGGAAGGCAGATTGCAAGACTGACAATTCACATTCACCTGCTTTAGTCTCTCCCCATTGAGGAAGGAAAATGGCTGCTTCTTCTAACCACAAAAACAGCTTCCATGCTCGCTCTAACAGTTTTCCCTCTAGAGAAAACCCAATCATCACCCAACTTGATGAGCATTTGTGCAGATTGGGGGCTTCTGAAGATGCCTCTACGTCATCATCCTTCAGCGGCAAACTAAGTAGACTTCAGGATTTGCATGACTGTGTCAGCAAGGTGCTTTTGTTACCACTCACCCAACAAGCCATAGCCCAAGAGAACAATGAGAAATGGGTTGATGAGCTATTGGATGGATCTCTTCAGGTCCTGGATTTGTGTAATATTGCAAAGGATTCCTTGTTGCAAACAAAAGAATGCATGCATGAGCTTCAATCCATTTTACGCAGAAGAGGTTACGGTGAAATTGGTCTCACAAATGAGGTTAAGAAATACTTAGCCTCTAGGAAGGTAGTGAGAAGGGCAATTCACAAGGCCTTGCAGGTTATGCAAAACAAATGCACCTTCGCCACCTTTAATGGAGACCATGAAACCACAACCATGTTTAACATGTTAAAGGAGGTTCAAACAACCTCTCTTAATGTAACAGAATCCTTTCTCTTCTTCATCTCCGAACCAAAGACGAAGTCTATTGGTTGGTCATTAGTCTCCAAGCTGGTGCACCACAAAACAGTAGCATCCGCAGATCAAACTCATGGTAGAAATGAGTTTGCTGCAGTGGATGCCGCATTGATAGGATTGGTAGAACACAAGACAAGCAAATCTGATAACATCAAGGTTGTGCAAAGCCAACTGGAGAGCTTAGAGTTGTGCATTCAAGATCTTGAAGAAGGTCTCGAGTGCCTCTTCAGGCATTTGATCAAAACTAGAGTCTCCCTTCTCAACATCCTAAATCACTAGAGCCCGAACAATTTTGATCTACTCATACTTGTACATTATTAATGAAATATACATGTATTATTCCGGAGACATACAATGAATTCAGATGATGAAAATCTTCCACTATATGTTGCATTTCTTTTTTATCTTTTCCGATATAATTAATTACCTTAATTTGCACTTGCCACATACCCAGTTTCTTTAGTAAATCACAGTGTACAGATTAGTCACAGAGAAATTACCAAACGAATCATTCAAACCATAGTAAATTTACTTTTGAAATAATGGAGTTTTCTTTCTTAACCCGTAATAATTATAAAGTCATTGACATAATGCGTGCAATCTATGATTAAAAAACACTAGAAGAAATTGCTTAACAGTCACATTATAGCTAGAACATGGGGAGAAAATGGAAAATGAGATCGCTGTCTCTCTGTTAGGAGGAAAATGGAATCATCCAGCAATGTAATACAGTCACTGAGCAGCCCCACATCATTTTTCTACGATTTGGCTAGACTCAGGAGATGCTGAAGCCAAGCATGCGGATCCTGTTTTCCTGTATCACAGCAGGACTTGCAGGGACTTCAACATTTAAAACATTAATAAACCAACATGCACTCGTGTGCTTCAAAACTGTTTCCTGTATCGCCAACATTTCCCAACATGATGAGTACATTTGCAGAGTAAGAGATTCATCATCAACTGTGGATTTGGCCACAAGCTAAGTAGATCTTGAAGGGCATTGAAAGCTTTTCTAGGCGCATGCATGATCAAAACTAGAGTCTCCTTTCTCAATATCTTCAATCAGTAACTGGATAATCATTGAAAATGATACTTCACTAATGAATTGAAGTGCTTGTTTTTCTTATACCGAACACGGTTTCCATGATTCTATCAAACCATGTGTAGCTTATGATGCTTTGCCATGAATCCATACACTGTGAT